TAAGACCTAATTCAAAAATCGACGCCGGTCAGTCGATGTAGTTTCTTTTCCTCTTTTAAACAAAAAAAGAATGAACTCTCTACGACAAACCGCTATTAAAAATCTTGGAACGTACTTCAGGTGTAACTCTTATACATTGGATTCGTCCGGTCTCCCGAAGATGCCCTGATCGTGTGAAAATTGTAATAGAAATGACGGGTGCTTCGAGCACGCCGTTAGTGTTGTTAATTCAGTAGATGTTCCAATTTTTCATCGCTGAATAGAAGAGCTGCAGTGTTATCTGCGTGAAGCGAGGGGCGTTTTGCCGTCCTTTAATCCCGTTACATCACTCGCAAACGGTAAGTGCAGTGCTCAATAGTGCTCTAACAAAATGCAAAACCGGTCATGTGTCGAGAGTATCGCAACATTCCTGTAAGTGGTTGATTCTACCTCGTTTTTCTAGCGATCCTCGCGATTTCTTTTAAAGTCTTTTAAATGTGTACATGATCAGATCAATGAGCTCCGTATTTCAAACATTTGTTTTATTTATGACTAACATTGACAAAAAAAGAAGGGTTCTGAATATGGCTGCCGTCGACCGTTCTAGGAGCATCTCACTGCACTGGCGGCTAGAAAGACGGGCGTTGAGCCTTAAGTCACTGTCCATCGCAGACTACCACGTGGACTTTTAATTACTCAATAGCCGGAATCCAGTGTCCCGACTAGTCCCAAGTCTCTCTTTCTATATCTTAATAATATTTCTAACAGAATGATTCAATGGTGTTACTAATTCGATCTCAAACTCCGGATGCTATCTGGAGTAACCTACTGTGCATAAGTTATGAGACAAATGTCGAAGTAAGCCATTTTTCACTAGAATGAGATAGAGACTTCATTCTTTGGTCATTAGAAAGAGCGAAGCCTCAGCTTCCAAATGCATGTTTTGAAAAAACACTCTGATAAAGTTAAGTTAATTAAATATAAATGTTAAAAGAACAGCCCAAAACGGCTTATTAAAAGACAATTTTAAGTGAGTTAGACTCGCTGGATCTACGCTAAGTTTTTGGAAGTCACGGTAAGGTGCCAAATACGATCAGTTCAACAGGTCGTATCACTTTACTCTATATCCTCTGAAATTTTCAGCTCCCCACCTCGTTGTATGATACTTATACGGTAGTTTTAAAGAAGAAAAGCGCAAAAAAAAAGGTTGATAAATGTTACAAGGCGTTTTTGACGATTCTTTTAATATTTAAATTTAATTAACTTAACTTTATCAAAATGTTTTTCCAAAACGGGCATTTTGAAGCTGAGACTTTGCTCTTTCTAATGATGAAAGAATGAAGCCTCTAATTCATTCTGGTGAAAAACGGCTCACCTCGACATTTGTCTCATTACTAATGCACAGTAGGTTATTCCTATTAATATTCAAATCTATATTTACTACATCGTTTTTATCCTCTTTTTGTCAGAAATCTATTGAATGGAATGATTATAAATCGATTTATATATTATCTTATCTTATTTTTATTAATTCAAATAATTGTTTATGTAGATTCAAAAGGATATTGGAATAAACTTATTTATGATGATACTTCTTGTTTAAAAGCATCAACTCCTATTTATAATGATTCATTCTCTGTATTTATAATGATTAAAGATCGATTCTCCTATAGACAAACGTTAAAAAATTTTATTCATATTTTATATAATAATTCAAAACAACTCAAAAACCAACCAGAATTAGTATTATTTGATTTTAATAGTCATATTCCTGTACAAATTCCTTCACCATACAATAATATATCTAAATATCCTCATATTAAATTGATTCGATTTGATTGTTTAATTCCTTGTATTTCTAAAGATGAAACATGTAATTTATGTTTGTATCCTTATCATTATTTTAATTGTTGGGTTGCATTAACTTTATCTCTATGTCATCTTAAATACGATCGAATTATACATTTTGAAAATGATTTATATCCAAATAATTTGTTTAATTTATATAATTATATAGGTCCACAAAGTTGGACATTTCGAACTCCTGATAAATATTATACTTTTAGTTTTTCAACAACTCGTAAAATTTTAATTGAATTTTTATATGTATTACCAGATTTTCTAGTAGAAGATGCTGATACATCTTTAGGTTCTGATCAACCTTTTATATATTATACGAATCTTACAAGATGTCCAGAATATCTTCTACATCTTGAACATGAGGGAGGAATGAAGGATGGTGATCCTGTTAAATCACGCATACGAAGTCAATGGCGATTATATTTATATTTACAACGATATGGTAATCCTTCTGGAGGAAATATTCAAAAAGGTGGTATTGGAGGAAATAATCAAAAATATTATTGTAATGATAAGAATATTACTTGCAACTTAATCTTTCGTAAATTTATTAGCTTTTGGGGTATATATCACATAATCGATATGATACTTGACTCTAATATATTATGGTTTTTGTTTTTTTTCATATTCAATCAGCCAACATTAGTATTGCATTATATATTTATATTTTGTTTTATAATGATTATTATTTCGTTATATAGATTTCGGTTTAAACATATAAAAAAGTTATTTTCGATATATATTAAGTGGACGGCATTTTTCCATAAAGCAAGGGGACATCTGATTGTATGCGTTAAAAAATGATTATCTTCATATAATATTGTCTTATTATGTGTCAAATTTTAATAGAAATAAGAAAAGTCAAATTCGAAAAACATCTTTTCTGATGAAAAATCCCTGAGGGAGACCCTTGTCCTGAATTTTTGTCAAACAATTTTTTATTTGTAAAACTAATAAGTGATACATCACTCGATGTGGTTTTTCACGCTGATTCGTAACCTGACATTATTTCTTGAATAAAAATGTTCTGGACTGTGAAAAATGTAAAATATCCGGAAAACTGACAGTTTTGTAGAAAACCTAGATCTCGGTCCAGAGAAAAACTGCTATCATCACATATTCATGCTATGTCAGTGCATATTCTGTGAAATTTTCAACGAATCTCTAGCTTTGGAAAATATTAGAAACTCATTACACTGAACATAGTTCTCGGAAAAATCGCCTCGTTTGAGAAAAAACTCTTTTTCACTAAAAGACTTGATCTGAGACGAACTTGTTTTTTTTGCCAATAGAACAAGAAGAAGCGTCCTGATTTCAAATAACTCGTTTCGAAAATTTAAATGTAATTCAATTCAATAAAAATTCATTTTACATAGGGGTCGCGGCTATACGAGGTATTTTTTCTTTAGCATTGTTTAACCGCAAATTCCTCGTTCAAAACAAAAAAAAATTCCGCCATTATATAGTCCATCTATTAAAGTATATTTGCCACTATTTTAATTTTAAAAAATCACGCTTTTCTATTTTTCGCTAAATGTCTGCATGGATGCCCACTGTGAAATGTATGCAGAAGGAGTACATGTCTGTCACAGATCCTGTGAAACAAAAGTAAGAAATGTTATTCCTTCACTTAACGAGGGAGTCCTCCCATCTCGTTTTTATCCGTCAGTTTGTAGAGTACAGTCTGAAGTATATATACATTCAGCAACTTTTTCGATTCTTGGACTTGTAGATTTTGGAGAAAAAAATTTCCAGGTTTTTTACCCAAATTTTGAAATTTAAATAAAATCTTTAAATTTTAAAATGGAGACTTGTTTGTTGCATCAGAAGATAGAGGACATCAAGTAGTATACAGAAAAAGCGTTTATCGTTCCAGGATGAAGTTTGACGGAGAAATTCAACTTTTACTTTCCCGGTAAAATTTTAGGGTTAAAAATATTTTGAAAAAAATTCAGGACAAGGGTCTCCCTCAAGGATTTTTCATCGGAAAAGATTTTTTTTTCGAATTTGACTTTTCTTACTTCTATTAAAATTTGACGCATAATAAGATAGTGTTATGCGAAAATATAATCATTTTTTAACTCATCTAAACGTTGGCTGTTTACCACTGCAAGGCGAACGGTCTTGTTTTAACCTTTTTTACCGAAAAATACGTTGTAACGCAATGATTTTTTCTTTTCCACGCGCTTAAACGTTTCATTTCATAGTCAAAAACTCATTTAAACGCGTTTAGTTTTCGAAAAAAACATTTAAAACTGCGTACGACGCGTTGAAAAAACGTGAAAAACGATTTCAACGTGTCAATAAGCACGATTTTAAAATACAAAACTTGTAAAAATACATCGAAAACCCCGTTTTCGAAAGGCACAACGGCCATAACACGTCCAAAAGTTTAGCAAATTTCCTGCTGTGTAACAATAACTAATCCAGACTTTTGTAATATTCTAAATGTTAGCACCTTTTATACCGGTGAGTTCATATTGTAGGTGAAAAAAAGAAATAATGACAGTGTAAACGAACTTTTTACAACTTTAATGTATTCTTTCTGCATTATTTGTTGTATTTTTTTTTTGCGGTGACTCATTTATCACACTTCTTTTAATGATTCATAAAGTAAACAAAAAAAAGGACATGGTGAATAGAGTATTAGTCACCTGATATATTTCATTTTGTTGCAGCAATAATAAACGACAGTGAAAGTATAAGTAGAAAATGTTGTGCGTAATATTATCGATCAAATTTAATATTTTCAAACATGGCCGCTGTTACGCAATCAGAAGACAAAATGAAAGCATTACAAGACTCTCGAGAAAGTAAATGAACGTCTTTTGCTTTGCTTCTTTTTATGTTAGAGACGTATAACTGAGGATCAGTGAAAATATATAATTTGTGCAATTCAGTGAGTCAAGACTACAGAAGTGAAATGTGTCCATAAAAGTTTCTGAAAAACGGGTTAAACGATGAAGTATCGTTCACAACAGTTTCTAACTAAGCATTTTATCTTTAGAGCTTTACTGTATTAGAAAGAACGATATAATTGAATTAAGTAGTTTCGTTCATCCACCAAGAGCTGTTAAACTGTTTATGGAAACTGTTTGTATTTTATTCAAACAAAATCAACCACATGAATGGCGTACATGTCAACATTTACTTCGTGATATAAATTTCTTACAAATGTTAGTAAATTTCGATTATGAAAATGGAGTTAGTGATGAAATAATGCAAGAATTAAAATCCTACATAGATCAACCTGAATTTCAACCAGAAACGGTTGGTAACGCATCGGCATCAGCAAAATCAATATGTAACTGGGTACATGCAATTTATGAATATCAAAATATAAAAAGGTCAATGGTATAAACATAAAATGCTGGACTGTATGTTCTATAAACAATAAAGATGTTCATTTTCATAAAAAATTAATAAATAAACCTACTCAAATCAATTTGTTTCTCTTTTTTGTTTTAACATCAATTAATGCTATTTGTTCCCTGAGGTAGGACTGTAAAAGTTCCAGTTGCGTTGATTTAACGTTAACTGAAAACACAGTTACCGTTGTCGATAACGGCCGAAGAAGTAACGATAACTTTTACAATCCTACCCTGAGGGTTAACCAAATAAAACTATACATAAATTTTAAACATCAGGTGATAACAAAAATAAAGAAATAAAGAAATAAGAGTTCAAAATCTAGACACAAAAACTATTCGTATAAAATTACATATCCTTTATAAAAATTTACACATTTACAGATGAATAACAGCAAAAAAGATTGAAAAGTCTAATTTTTACATAGACAAAGATAAACAGGAAGTAAAATTCAATTGATTTTTCTATACAGTTCTGTTTTTAAGATTACATCCTATGAGGACTATTTCGATATAAAAAAGCGCCTTCTCGGCGATAAAAAATTTATCTTATCGGTTGTCATACAGCGATATGTCTGGATAAACACACTACAGAACGATATGCGCCGATTTTGATTTTAGACAGTTATATCTCTGTATATCGATGCCTCACCGATATACCCCATCGTGACAACGGATACGACAGATTTTTTATCGCTGTACTTTCCGACATCGACTACTATCCAAAATTTTTGAGTTTGAATCTTTCAAAATACAGTCGTGTTGTAGACCAGAAAATTCTACAAAATACTACAAAACACATCTTGAGCCTCGGACGACGTCTTTTTAACACAGTTAAATTTTCAAAATTCAAATTCAAAATTTAGATTTTAAAAACTTTTATTGTCAGAATTTAGAACATAAAATTCTGAATCGATCGGTATAATTTTCACCTCTTTGCATGAACGAATCTAGTCAGGAAAGGCAAAATAGGAAACAAAATTTAAACTTTTTCTCCGCTGGAGTAAAATTAAATTTAAAAGTTCAGCTGTTGTCCGATAAAATTTGCTTTATGTGCATCATATATTGCACCTAGCCAGCTATCACAAACACACTTAGCTATCAAAAACAGTAAAAAGATAAAGGCCTCAGCTCACAGTAGTAGGACTTGATAACAGAAACAAAAAGATTCAAACTTCTTTTGTACTATATATATATATATGTATATATAGTACGAAAGAAGTTTGAACGTTTTTTTATAAGATGGTGTGACCAATTTGGAAAACGGTTCGTTTATAAAACGGCCAACCAGTTTATAAATAGACCCAGTCTCATTGCCTATTTGTAAATTGGCCAATATGCAAATAGATCAGCCAGTATGAAATGGACCGGTCAATATACGAAGTAGTCAGAAATAGTTGGCTCACAACTTTCAGTAATGACCAGTCTGTTTTGGAAATTAAACAAAATTGTTTTACTGAACTTTTTATTAGAAAATTATACATATATTAATAATACAAAATTGAAAGATCGTATGATCATACGTTGGTCGAAAATGAATCTGTTCTCGGCGGACAAAAAATTCTTAAATGTAATTACCAGAAAACCCCACCATGGAGGTCTTCTGTGCCGGCCGCAAGTCCAGGCAAAGGAGGAGCGTTTGACGGAAGGGGGCACAGATACCGCCGTCTGTAAAAAGAAAAGACGAAAGAAACCAAGCGTGTGCAATCGCTATCAAAAATAATACCCGCTCGGACGTCGCCCGTGTGAACAAGGTCCGCGGACCAGGACAGAGCCGAAAAAAGGAGGACAGTGCTCAAAATTCTCATTAGAAACCCTGTATCAGAGGTGTTGGCAAGCTATTCAGTATGAGAGCGAAGCGCTCGCTACTGAGCTACTACCCAAATCAGTTCACGGATCATAACAGCAAGATTCAACGCAACACCATTCAAAATCACAATCATCCACGTGTACGCACCAACGTCCGACTCATCAGAAGAGGACATCGAGGCTTTCTGTGACAGCATAGAGAACGCATTAGCAGTCACACCCAAAAAGATATGGTTATCCTAACAGGAGACTGAAACGCAAAAGTGGGAAGTGACAATACAGGTTGGGAGTCTAAAATCAGCAAACACGGATACGGCACAAGAAATAAACGAGGCGAAAGACTATTAAAGTTCGTAACAGAACACGATCTGTTCATTTGCAACACAAGATTTCAACAAAAACCGCACCGCAAACTTTTTAATATATTAATTAATTACTTTTGCTTCGTACTATTTCTTTATTTATTCCAAACGTTTCGATTGATACTTCAATCTTCTTCAGTGGATAACAAACATTAATTAAATTGATTAAGATTATATTAACAAAACAAAACGAATTGAACGGACAACTTTTTCTTTTTCCAAAAACTATTAAAACTATTTAAAAAACAACAACTGGGGTTGTTTTTTAAATAGTTTTAATAGTTTTTGGAAAAAGAAAAAGTTGTCCGTTCAATTCGTTTTGTTTTGTTAATATAATCTTAATCAATTTAATTA